TCTTACTCAGTATGTTTTATAACAACATGTTAACAACAATACAAGGCTTGGACTACCCTGTAATGCTCAAGCCTGTCAGCTGCAGGCATTGGCTTCACTCACTAAACATCTCAAGAATTTGGCACAGCTAACACTAACTGTCCAGGGAAAGTCTAGCAGGAGACGTTTGATAAAGAAAACTGAACACAACTAAGAGCCAGACAGGAGGACAAGAGGTAATACTGGAATTGCAAAACAGAGTATAGGACTGTAGTTTTACGCTACCCCATTTATAACTATGGGTCCAAATCAGGTTTCAGAGGCAATAAACAATTAAAAATGGAGGTACTGACCCTTTCTTCTAGCCACCATTGTCCGCTCCCTGACAGAGCACTGAACAAAAATTCAGTTAGAAGATTATATAGAGACCTCCAGCAGTCAGAAGAGGCAGTCTAGGCAGAGAGGAAAAGCTTCCTCCAGAACGTACCTCCAGCCTGCTCACAAAATCCCACGTGGGCCAGAGGACACCCGCAGCTGTCTGGGATTTTTTTAACCAATTCTTCTGCTGACGTACCTTGTCTAAAACACGCGGCGCTGGGCCTCAGGGAGAGATTATGTCACGCAACGGGCACTACGGTCAGTTCAAGGATACTTTTCATTCATGCGGTGCTCAGAAAAGAGCTTCACCATGACTGAACGTCTGGCCGAAAGTCCAAATCAAACTTTGCTAAGAGAGACATGCAAAGGTAGGTTTGTAAAGAAAGAAAGAAAGAAAAAAAAATGTGGCTCATCAATCCTTTATGGGAGAAGATGAATGCTTTAGTAAGGCTTAGTCAATATTTACTGCCCCCAGTAGCACTTAACAGCTGTGTAGTAACAGCAGGGTAAAGAGGTCGGATGAAAAAATGAGAGTGAGGCTGTTCAGTTGGACAAAACTGCAGGATCAGGCCCTTAAGTTTAGGCAGCCAAACACAAATATTTTTCCAAAAAATATCTCCACTTACAGTAGTTAAACTGCAGTCATTCCCAAAGAAAAGACAGCTCATAAATAAAAATGCAGCTCTGCAGGAGCAACTACTAAGAGATGCCTACAAAGACACCTGATGGTCAACTCTGTAAAGAATAAAATTTTTACGCGGGGCGAAGAGCAGCTGTGTCAGTGAATCCCCTCCCACACTTCTCAACATCTTCTCTTCAAATACGTTTCAAAGCGATGACTGGAATAGCTCTTCAGCAGAGAGGATGAACCCTGAATCCTGTGAGGAATAACCTCATTAATTTTGTGACACAGTTTGCCGGGGTTTTCTTTCTGACTTTTTAATCTTACTATATATTTTGGACCATGCTAAGTGATTTTAAATACACGGTGCCCCTGTAATATGCTTTAATGTAAAGAGAATCTCGCAGAGATTGACTGTAGAAGTAGATAAATATGGGAAGAAAGAAACTGTAATGAGAATTACATTTCTAAAGAGAAACCTTTTTTTCAAAAACATTAAGTTTTTAGTTTATGAACACATCATGAATAACCTGATTAAGAAAAATCATTATTAATAATGAAGTGTGTAGACAGGCTTCAAAACTAATATTTAAAAGGGAAGATTTTTTAAATAAGCAGGTTATACATTAAAATTCCTTCAATTTGACTCTATGTCTGAAATAATCTAAACAGTTGAATAGTGGTAAACCCGATAACCACCATACAAATGCCATGCAGGGATACTTACTAGGGCTATCTAGGACTAACTAGATTTAACTATAAATCCTGAAGTGCTTCAGTATTCTCTCTCCAGAAGCTGATGGCCCAAACCACAGGATACTCATCACCAGTGGACGACAGCAAGTTCTAAACTGTCACTTTCCCACTTACAAAAAAGAGAGATGGACACAGAAAATCATATAGGAAGAATAAGAAAGAGATAAATGTAGTCCTCTGAACTCAAATAAAATGACCAAGATGGAAAACTTTATAAAGCTTTCTCTCCAGTTGAAGCAGAAACCCAGCTGGGTATATTATATGTGCAAGAAATAAGGGCATGAGCAAAATTTTGACAAGTGGGTTGATGGAATAAGATTGGATTTCCACAAAGCATTCAGAACAGATGAGTTTTTGGATGAGCTTGCAGAACAGCCTGATCTTTAAAAGCCCTGTCAAAATGCCAAACTGGGATGATCACCCACTGAAAAACAACTTTCCAGGATGTGGCACTAAAGACACTGAGAACAAAATCGTTCCAAAAAGATTTTCATTAATTTAGCCAGAACAAAGTTAATAATCCATGATGTAAACGTTTCTCTCTTTACTAGGTTGTTAAAAACGCTAAATTTTCCCCTATAAAAAAATCCTACAGCTAGAGGCTGACAGAGATTAGTTTATTCTTCTTCAAAGTCATTAAATAAATAATTAACCAACAATAGCTGGTAAGTTACCTTGACTACAAAGAATTATTAATATGAGATTGCCCAAGGGAGAAGGAGCCAGGGATTTCCAAACCGTGGTGTTAATCAAACTACTTCAAAGCAAGGCAAGGACTCGGAGCTGGCAGGCAGTCCCTGCCTCTGGGGGATTCACGCAGCCCGACATGGAGCTGGGAGCTACCGCAGCCCCTGGCAACAGGGGTAATTTAGTGATGTGTTTCTGTACAGCGAAAGGTCAAAACTATTTTTTAAGCAAGAAAAAAAAAAAAAGAAACAGAAGATTGGAAGTACCTGAATTGCAGGACCATTAATAACATGTCAGTCATGGTTGGAAATTAATATGAGCTGGATGCCCACAGGTGTTACGTAAGATGTTTTGGCAAAGCTTACGAAAAAAATGCAGCTCTGGAATGCTTTGGATAGAACTGTGCATGCTAAAAGCATCCTATATTCAGTCTGTAGAAACTTAAAGGTAATACAAGATATATCGGCGGTGTTTAATTAGCGCTGAGGGATCTGGTGGAGCTGGGAACTGTCAGTGTTGGGTTGATGGTTGGACTGGAGGATCCTCAAGGTCCTTTCCAACCAAGATGATTCTGGGATTCGGTGATACTGGGGACAGCTAATCCGAGAGATCTCACAAGTGCCTTTCACCTTTCATGATAATTCATTCCAGTGTGGCTGGACATGACAGTTACGGAATCCACTCCAAAAGGCAAACTTTATCCCTCTGCACTTCTTTGTGTCTCTTTCTTTTTTTCTCTAAGTGTGTAGAGAAGGAACTTATGGACTAAGGACAGCATTATCGTCCTATTCTCTTAAAGACGGTTTCTAAGGTGGTGTAGTATTTCTGAAAGGGAGAAACTGAGAATGCTTTAATTCTCAAAACCCACATTTGGGAATCAGCAGGATGAGGGTCCTTCCTCAAGGGTCCCTGTCAGTGAAGTTTAGTAACAGGGGTCAAGGCTCTTCATGCTACCAAACCAGTTACTGGTTTAGCAAATAAAAATTTGCTCAGAGACGTGTGTCAGAGCCCTTCAGATGAGGCTCTGAATTAGATTATGCATAAACCAGCAACACTCAAAATCCTGCTGTAATGTAAGATTGTTCCCCAGTGAGTGATTTATTGGTGCAGGATAGATATTTTTTTCCAAATACTGCAAACTGCTTTGATCATCTGAAATGAATGGCCTTTGTTCTTGTTACAGCATACCTCAGAATTACTAACAAAGACCAAAAGTTTCTTTTCTTTCTAAGCCAAGACAAGCACAGACTTTCCCCTGTACAGAAAGAATAGATGAGCGCTCGGAACTACAGTGCCTGTGATTGGCATTTCCCAAACTTTGGCACTGCTATGACAGAACCGGCGTCGGCAGAGGTTGTCGTCAAGGAGGAAATGTCCATATCCCTCTCTCAGAGGATTTCAGTCTCTGCCGATACAAGTTTTCAGTAGGGCACAAATAAATTAACATCCTCATCCATGTGCCTTGGAAAATCTTCACCTATCTACCTCTCTTCCTGAGAATTTCCCTACCTCTCCTGGTTTCCCATAAGCCTTACACTTTGCTCTTCAGAAGCTCTTTCAAGCCAGCAGGAGCTACTCCAGAAGGACCTCTCGGCCCACGCTGCCTTCCTGGGCAGGCTGCAGCAGCCCAAGCTACCCACAGCCTCCTCCCCACAGCCTAACCAAGCCCCTTCTAGACTCATGCTAACGCACAAATCCCACCCCTGCCAACTCACAGGCTCACCCACTGTGGCCTCACCCAACCCACCTCAGGGCAAGAGTAAATTTGCAATTAAAAGTTTCTCATCAAGTTGATATTCTCAGTCTCACTGAAGTTTTCAGTTTTATCCAACAGCTTCAACAGTAACACAAATGAGATTCTTAACTGTGTCTAAAGTAAACCAGAGTCCCGCTGAAAGTCCAAGACCTGTGTTTCTAAATCACTGCCCCATCCTTGGAAATAGCACCCAAAATTATATTTAAATTACTGCGAGAAAAATTCTGATATCTGGGATAAATTGCCAAGAAATCTTGAGACGTTGCTTACACCAGAGTCAAATCTGTTACCAAAATCTGGAACTTGAACTCGTACTGCATATTTCACACGCTCAGACAATTATCAGCTGCTAGAGACTTCTGAGATTATTGAAATGGGACAGATTGAATACATCAGCTGGATTCAGTCCATTTCACTAAAAATGAAATGCTCCACAGCCCAGTGCCCATCAGAGCTCTGTTCTCCCAGATTAACTCTTTCATAGCAGATGTCTAATAGACACGAGCAAGCGGTGACACTGCAAGACTATGATAGCACAACTTTTTCTTTTTTTCCAATAGAAAAAGATTTTTAAGAGAACAAAGTATACAAAATCAGCTCTGAGTTAGTGCAACCACTTGCTGGTACTCCATGGACATAACATCACTCCTACACCACCCAGTGCTGGGAAATAAAATAAAATCCGTCAGGAAAAGCCGACCAAAGGTTACATGCTCAGGTTTATCTGTATTCATTTTATTCCTCCTGAGGTAACACAGCCACAGAGAACTCTCGCATGTCACGTTCCTCGGATGGACTTTTCTGCTGGGCACAGGTACCGACCTGCAGCATCTGAAGGTAGCCTTCTTGTGGGTCGCACAGCAGCGAAGATATCCGGTGATTGTTCCTCATGCACCTCTGATTGTTGTCCCTTGAGAGAGGGAAAATTTGCCGGATAACTGTCATCCTCCCCAGAGCACTATGCACCAACTCTAGTATTTCATTATCGGTGATCTCCTGTGAACGAAGACACAGTCTTTTACAAATACATATTTGTGCAGATGTTTTATATATTCCTTTCAATATCAAATAAATGTTTTTCAAAAGACAACAGAAGAAAAAAGTTACAGACACACATGCTTAGTCTAGGCCAAACGTTCTTATTTTGTGTTTAATAACAACAATGGTATTCTTTTACACGTCATCCGAAACAAAATTATCTCAAACAAAGGAAAACAGCTTAACGCAGTAGCATCTATCTTGGCAGTACTAACACACTGCAGAGGTAGTTCCTCACAGGAAAGCACCAAGACAGTCTCAATAGATTTCTAAATAAAAAACCAAGAGCTTTCAAACCAAATTTATACAGAAAATTTTTGGTTTAACAGAATAGAACCTGACTACCTCCTCAGAACAAAACAAGAAAAGAAAAACATAACAGTCTTTGGGAAATATGGCCCTGACACCTGAGAACAATGTTACAAGAAAGTACTTTTCCCATAGGAACAAGAGATCATTTCCTGCAGACTAATCCTGATAATGACTCAAGGAAGTCTTTTGAGGTTATCTGTATTAGGAAGTAAAAAAAAAAAAGAAAAAAAAAAAAGGAAGCCTCATGGAAGGGGTTGGCACACTCAGGAATGCAAGTTTCTGCACAGGGAATAATTAGGGATAAGATATATGGCGATCTCGAGGCCGGGTTCTCTTCTTTCCAGACTTCACACTGTCTAAAGCTCCTTTGCAGACCTTCCCACGTCCCGTCTGGGGACAGAGCCTCCTCCTACTGCCCTGAGATTGCAACCGAAGCCAACTCAACGACACGCTTTACATATTTTGTGTTTAAAAACCACACAACTCCAAAACTTCTTTTTTTTTATTATTATTTTTTTTTTTATCCCAAGATAAATAGCTTGAAGATCAGGGGCTTAGCAGATCCTGAATTCACACCAGCTTGTGCTGGTGATTTCCAGGCAGAAGCCTGCTGTGAGGGAAGGGCAGGCAGGGGGCTGGCTGCGTTCCTTCCCCCAGGCGCCTCCTCCTTACATCCCAGCTCCTTACCACTGCCACCAGCAGCAGCAGCAAGTGCCACCAACCCATTTCCAGCACACGCCAGCTGCACAGCTGGGCAAGCACTGCCCAGCCTGCCCAGGGCTGCTCTCAGCCCTCCGCAGGGTAAGGGCTGCAAATAATTCATACTCGGTCAACAGGGCCCACACCTTGTGATGGGTCATCAGCAGAAGTGACCCTGCACCCGTATTTTCAACATTCAAGAAAAAAAATTAGTTTGTTTTCTTCCCGTTTCCTCTGTCAAGCTGTGAGTGAAATGACCATGAGGTTGTTATAATTACTTGTTACGGTTGGCTAGTACCGTAGCTTTGGCTCAATTTAGTTCTTCTTTGCCGATTTCCCATCGTTTTTTAGGAACATGAATTTTTAACTTTGCAGAAGGTGAAATTCATTACATTAACGACAGACCAACTGGTACGGTGTGAAAACAGAAAAATCAGAAAATAAATACATTCTTATAGAAGCCAAAGATTTGTGAGGCTTAATAGAAAATGTTGGGCGGCACCTGTAGCTTTGCAGATAGACACCAAAAAGAGACGCACAATCTCCGCCTGGGGTTTTTCTGCTGTGGGGCTGAGGGGTGTTAAAGCCACACAGCATATTTAAGCTGAGATCTGAGGGAGCGACGATTTTATGAGATGGCTTTAACCTTATAACCCCCCAGGCTGCATCACTTGGCAGGCAAACTCTGAGTGGCTGGAAAGAAAAAAAAAATTAAAAAATCACAAATCATCCAAACCTTCCGTTTACCTCACACCGCACATATATATTTAATGTCCTCCCAAGTGATGCACAGCCTTTCAAAGGTATCTCACTGCCTGTGTCAAATGCTTGACTTGAGACACGTAGCAGACCAGAACTGCCTCCTCGGTGGGATTTCCAGAAGTGAGGTAGTGGAGAGGATCAGTTCCCTTAGATGCATTAACCCAGGTTATTCCCAGACAGCTCGCAGCACCAAGTTGTAAAAGTCTAGTTACTATGCGGCCAAAGATGAAAATCATGAGCCTCTGGAGGGAAATTCAGAATTTAAATTGGGCTAAATCTGACTCAAAGTGCCAACTTTTTCTGTGTGGACAACTGACGGTAGCTAAATCCCTCGGTGCCTCAGTCCAGTACATAACGCCAAGACAAACATTTTGCATTTTTTTCAGCTGATGGACATTCATACCAACTAATGATTGATTCCTTTTAGACACTGGCTTCCTTTTCAACAATGTAAAAGCACAGGAGGAAAAAAAAAAAAAAAAAAAGTTGTCGGAAGCGCTGGGAACTGAAGGTCTATGTCTGCATTTTTGATCTGGTGCTCTAAAAGCTAAAGGTAATTCTGGGACAGCCCTGACTTAGCAGCCCGTGAAACCTTAAATGTCATGTGCAGAAAGGTTACCTGCATTCCAACTGTGATAAATACAGGGGGAAAAAAAGAAAAAAAAAAAAAAAAAAAAAAAAAAAAAG